TTGGGAAATGACTGGTGACATGAATCTCGAACGAATTTTTCACACAGCGTCAATATTAACAGACGGAAAAGTATTAGTTGTTGGTGGACGGTTGGGGTCGGTAGATGAAACTAATACTGCTGAATTGTATGATCCATCAACAGGAAATTGGACAATGACTAATTCTATGAATTATGAACGAAAAGATCATACGGCATCAGTGTTAATAAATGGAGAAGTTTTAGTTACTGGTGGAGAAAATAATAATTCTTTGCTAAATAGTGCTGAATTGTATAATCCATTAACGAAAAATTGGATATTGATTAATTCTATGAATGAGAAACGGGCTTATCACACGGCAACCGTACTAAAGAATGGAAATGTGCTAGTTGCTGGTCATTCACTTAATATTGCTGAATTGTATGATCCATCAGCAAAAGCTTGGAGATCGGCTAGTCCTATGAATAGTAGACGAGGTTCTCCCACAGCATCTCTACTAACAGATGGAAGAGTATTAGTTACTGGTGGATCCTGGCTTCTTTTTGCTCTCAACAGTGCAGAATTGTTTTATCCTAATGTAACAAATGTATGAATTAAAATTAATTTTAATATACAAATACATACTACACAATAATCAGAAATAATTCGAGAGTATGGTGTGGACCCTAGTATAAAGAAGACTTTCATACACAAACTCTGATAAAATGGAATACAGATGTGACAGAAACAGTGATCCTTGAGGGTGTGGGTTGGCATAAGAACGGTACTCCCACACCCCACCCTATAGTGAAACTTTGAGAATATATTGAGGCTAATAAAGGACGTTTGTGATTAAAATTTCAATGGCCACTGATTCAATATGATAAACTGTTTTTATTTGAAAGAGCAAGTTTTTGATAAAGTAGCTATAAAAATCTTTTTTTTTCTTTTTATGTTGCTTGAAGAAAAAACCTTGACAAATGTAATCATTGAAAAACCCTTCAAAAATGACGCTTATCTTATAAAATTATCTTTAATATAGTCATAGCGAAAATTTATCAGAAAAAGGGTTCTCATAAGCATTACATTGTTCCATACAATAAAAGATATTTGTCGTTAGATTAAATTATGGGTAGCTTTCACTGGACATGTATTGGTCGACCAGTATTTTCAGAAATTTTCTGGTTAAAGGGAGATATCAAAGAAATACTCTTGTCGTTTTATGAAAGAAAAAATAACAACCTATTTTCCCTTTATTCATCTCAGCTTTGACGATTCTAATGCAGGCAAACTCTTTTGAGGAGTCTCTTAAACTACAAATTAGATTAATTTGAAAGAAAATTTATGTAAAACATGCCACTATTATTCGTAAATACGATAAGTTATAAAACTAAATGATAATTGCTTATAATCTTTTCAAGTACAATGAAAGAACATACGCACAGATAAGACTATAAATTATGCACAATTGATGAAACAATTAAGAAATTTTCGTTAAAGCAAAAATTAACCGTCTATATGAGTAAGTCGATTGAAAAAATAATAATTTCTATTTTATACACATTATGGTGTCGTCTGCATGTCAATTTTCGAAGTTCGGTATACAAGCGAAACCGACTATCACCAGTAATTACTCGAAGTACATCAGAAATATTAATATCATTAGATGTACTTCGTCTTGACTTTTCAATAGTACAGTAAGAAATCTTTTAGTAGTTTTAAAGAATTTATTTATTTTCACAAAACACTCTCGATGTTGAATATCAGAAGGAAAATAATAGAAAGTGAATTAAATAAGATAGATTAATTATCTAATAATCATTCATTTAAAAAAGGAATCTGTAGTTTGTTCAACAGTTCATTGCATCATTAATATATACGTATGATAAAGAAAAAAAAAACATACAGGTGAATTTCGGCTAGTTTAAATTAGTGATCTTTTTCTTATCAGTTTATGAAACTAATAACAGCACAGTAAATTAGATATGTAATAGTTTCTAAAGAGAAACACCAATCCATTCCACATTCCATCCATATGTTTGGGCCAAAGAAAGCAAACTTGAACTAGCTGCACCACTAATTGACTGAGTATAAACTCGAAATGAATTCTTTGTCGATGAATAAATAGCTGTATAACCCGTTAGATCCCAATGCGAGCTAGTACCAGACACACTAGTGAAGTAGAGTGGAGTTGAATTGAAACCACAGGCGCTCGAATCAATATCCATGTATAATCCACTAGCACTATATAGTTGCCAAAGCGTATACGATGACGTACGTCCACAATAATACTGTGCACTAGTCGCATTTTGTGCAACGGTTTGTGTTGTACCTAAGACAAATAAACAGTTAGATTATTTATGATATTTCAGAGCCAGTGTATGAATGCATAAGTCATAAACTATTCATTATCAATTCAAAACCTTCGGATCAATTGAGTATTATTTATACTAAGTGTTTGTTATGGAAAATCTTTCGAAATGGAAATCAAGTCTTTTTTTTACTAGACTTGGTGTATCCATAGCTCTATAAAACAATCTTGACTAAAAACATCTCGAGTTATCAATAATTTCATAGATGCTTTACATATTAGTTTCAAAGAAAAACAATACTTACTCGTTGTGGTAGTGCTTGTCGTCGCTGTCGTTGATGTCGTGGTTGTTGTTGTTGATGTTGTAGTTTCTGTTGTTGTTGTCACCGTTGTTGTCGTTGATGTTGTCTCTGTTGTTATTGTTGTCGATTCGCTCGTACATGCTAAACCAGAGGGTGAAATATGATCAAATAGAAATTATCTTTCTTTGTGTAATATTATCCATAAGCGAACAAGATACGTTCCGGCAAAAAAGACTTCTTTATCAATTATAGGCACAATAAAATGTTAACGATCACGGAAGTATTTCTCACTGAACTACAATTCAATTTTGTCTAATTTAAAGATAAAAAATTTAATTGAATGCCAAAATTCTTTATGTATTGACATCGAAATCAGAGGTCGTTTTTACAAGATGATTTATATAAAGAGTAGCATAGCAGCAACTTAGTATTCTACGACAAGCCTGATGTTAATTTAGTTCGAAATACTTACATTCTTGTCCAAGATATAATGTAAGCACAGTAGCTAAAGCAATACCACCTATCAAGAATCCTGAGAGACCAAAAAGAAGACATAGATCAAAATTGTCCGTTTCTTTAGTCGTTTTCTTTGTGCCCATATCTAATGATCAATCGTTTTTTTTTCTATTACACAATCTTTGAAAAATATACCTTTAATTTAAATTTCGTTTCATGTAAATATAACTTACTGTAATATCTTTTCGTAGATTTTCTTTGTCTATTCGAAAATATAATTAAAAAAGAGAACAGTGTATTTTCAATTGTATTGGTATTTATTTTTAATTCTTGGCATTATTATTGCAAGGCTTTACATCAAGTATTATTCTTTTGCTTGAAAATAATCTTCTATGCATAGCAAAAGTATACATTATGAGAGAAGTGAAATAAAACAGTATAGTTACTGATGATGAAGACACGCACTCATTCCGTTAGCATGAGTAAACTGAACAGATCTTATATATATATATATCTTTGTAACAAATTTTACAAATAAATCTTTAGAATTCAAAAAAGAAAGACGATCAACCTTAACTTTGTCAGCTTATATTGTAACGGTCAATTTTTTTTTATATCAGGAAATCGAAATATCAAGTTTAGATGCTTATAGTTTAATTATAAAAAGTTTGATTATTCGATGACTAGTTACAAGACTATCTTTTTTCTTATGGCATAAACTACAATTTTCATCAATATTTGTTAAATTATCTTAAGAGATGATTAATTTTGCTCATACACATATCTTACGTTTGTTTATCTATATTGTTTATGAGCTTTTGTATGCTGATTATTAAATTAGCGATACCGAATTTTCACAGTTATTCATAATGTAAATTCTTTATGATTGGTTTATTCGACATCATCACCATGAATGAATACATTTGCTAGAAAAAATTTTCTAGCACATTCAAATAATTCTTGTTACATTGGTAATAATAAGGGCTTTTATCTATGTATAGGAAAACAGAATCAAATCGAGCATCCATGCACGAAATCAAATACGGTTAGATATGTTAAAAGTTAGGAGAGATCATACACTCAAATTTCATTTGAATTAAAACAAACTTTTACTTGTAAACTTATCATACATAAAAATAATAATTTATAGATTTTATTTTTTACATCATTTAAACAGATACTTAATAGAATATAAATTTTCTTATTTTATTCGTTAATAAAATAAAATCAATAATGTCAAGTCAATTTGTATATTAAACAATTTTTAAAGAGAAATTCCATACCAATTTATATTCCATCTATACGTTTGAGAATAACTATACAGAGTTGCGCTACTATCTCCATTCAATGACTTAGCATAGATTGTAAAATAAGTGTTTGTAGGAGAATAAATAGCGGTGTAGCCTCCCACTATCGAATGTAAATCATCGCCAGTGATGCTAATGAAATAAAAAGTAGTTGATTGAAAACTACAATTGCGTGTATCAACATTCATATATAGCCCATTGGTAGAGTATGCATTCCAAAGCGTATAGGAGGCAATGCGTGCACAATAATATTGCAGTGTTGAATTAGGTGCTATTGTTTGAGTTGTAGCTAAAAAATAGTGAAAATAAACATAGATTATTAATAGTTAATATCTCTTGCTCTGTATCATATCTAGAAAAGCTTTTTTGATTTTTATACACGTCAACTTTAGTACAATATGATACATATAAATATATTTGCTTGTGATTGAAAACTATTTAGATGCGACATTGACTTTTGATGCATAAAATTATTGACGAATCATTTTATTAGAATTTTAAATGACAATTAAATAAAACGAAGTCCACGAACCAAAGTTACTATGAGCAATTACTGCTGTCAGCGATTATACGAAGCTAGCTAAAACAATTTGCAACTTTCTTATTTCTGAAATTGAGTATCTAATGTAACATTTGACTCTAGAATTCTACTCAGAACTTCAATCAAACGAAAAAGTACTCACTTGTTGTAGTAGTCGTTGTACTAGTAGTTGTTGTTGTCGTAGTTGTTGTCGTAGTACTAGTTGTAGTTGTCGATGTTGTCGTTGTTGTAGTCACTGTTGTTGTTGTTGTTATTATTGAAGTTTTAGTTATCGATTTGCATGCGCAAGCTAATATGAAAAGATCAACTTTATATTGATTTGACACGAAAAAATTGCATACTGTAATCTTCAATCTTACAATTTTATTTGATAGCGAACACTACTTAATCTTCATAGTAACTGAATGAGAAATCTCTTGGAGATTATTGGAATACAAAATATAAAAATCGTTTAAATTTTATAAGAATATTTTTGAATATAACATGTATGTAGCCTTTAAATCTTCACATCAAATCGAAATTCTAATATGTTTTCGACATCGAACTTTTTTTTTCCTATGAGTTTCAATAGTGAAGAGTTTGAGCTCTATCAGTATTATATATTAAATCAAATTTTTATGAAGAATGTGCTCATTTTTCTCTTATTACAATGCTCATTAATGATAGAATTTGTTATCGAATACGCATGAAAATTGCTTTAACACTCAAAAGTTTTTGTTATAATGTGGTTTTATTACTTAATAGAAGAAAAAGGCATCGAGTTCACTAAAATATTTTTGCTATTCACGTAAATGAGGGTCTATCTTTAAAGTGCACATCAATCCAATATTTCGAATTTTAAGGTTGAAACCTACAATGAATATTTAGAACTGCCTCGGTATTGTTATTAAAACATGATATTTCACAAGGTCTATGAAAAACATGATACTAGTCGTACGTTTAAGTCAGCTTACATCGTTGTTTAAGATATGTAGATAGAACAGTCGCTAGTACGATGCTACCCAGTAAGAACCCAATGAGTGTCATAATCAAACATAGTTCATATGTGGTTCCTTCTTTTTCTTCCATATCTAATGATGAATTGTGTTTTTTTGATTATTACACAAATAAAATACTAGTAGTTACTATGAGTTCAATGTATTGATGAATGTTGACGAATATATTATGAGATTTCAAATTTCTCTTCGTACAATACATTAGACATACCCAATGTTTTTTTTATTAGATTTTCTTTGTCTATTCGAAAAAGAAAAAAGTACATTTTCAGTTGTTTTATGTTTATTTTTAATTCTTGAAGTTATTATTGAAATGCTTTACATCATGTTTTATTCTTTCGCATGAAAACAATCCTCTATACAGAGAAAAAGTATAGGTTGTGACACCAAAAACAGAATAATACGCTTAATTAATCACATTTTTTAATATATGTAAATGACAAAATTGGAAAAAAATCTTTTGAGATGGAGGAGACACTCAATATTATATTTATTTATCTTACTTTATAGGGTATAAAGATTTTAATATGATGTCACAAACAATCACCATCAATATTGCCTTAAAATATCTAACGAGAAAATCAAGTTTTCTAAACATCGTATTCATCGGCTTGTAGAAAGTGTATGCTAGTTGTCTATATTTAGCAAAATTTAGTTCATTATTCTTATTGATGCATATATTTTTAAAAAATTATTCATGTGGATATAATATAGAATATTCTAGGAGTACAATCGAATCAAGTTACTATAATGCATGTAAAGGAACTCTAAAAAATGTAGAACTATTGTCTTCAGAAGACAGAAGTTCGGTATACTTTTTTGGTAAACTTTAATTTCTGAGGCAAACATTTAATAAAAAAAACTGAAAAAAACTACTTTGCTTGCAAGTATTAGATACAAATTTTTAAAAAGTTTTCTACAAGAATGACTGTTTATATTTTTAGTTTTAGTTTTAGCAGTACCATTTAAGAAAAAAAAAGATATTTAAATCATATTCGTCGTTGTTTTTTACGGGTATACTACCTATTCAATGAGTTTCGTTCTATAAAAAAAAATAATTTTTTTTTCTTGTATCTTAATCAAACAATCTGCATTCTCTGTTTCGAATACTGCACTACTCCGATTTGCAATTCTTTCTATTAAACTATGTAAAGCAATTACAAACAAAAAAAAATAGATATAAGCATAAAGACATCATGTGCACAAAGTTTGTGTAATGTAGTAGTATCAAATGCATTATTCGACAAAAGAAGACATACTTATCTAATAGGTGCAACACTCAATATAGTTGATTCTAGCAAAAGAGGGTGTGGGTGTGGCTATGGCTGTGACTGTGTGGGTGTGGGTGTTGATGTGTGGTATGGAGTGGGCATCAGTTGTAGTCATATTCAACCCTACACCCACACCTCACACCTCACACCCACCCACATCCACACCCACACACCCACACCCTAGTTTCTATTCACCTTATAAAACCTTCCATTATTAGACGGAACTATTAAAACGAACTATATCAACAGATCAGATTTGATAGTGATAAGACATTATTGAGAATTTCTTATGTGAACGATATTTAATACTAGATTTACCGATTTCTCATATTACATTCAAGTAACTTCTCAGAAAATAGAAGTTAAGTTAAATCAATGATACGATTTACTTTAAATTTTGTAGCAAGTACTCAAGAATTTAAAACTCAATACAACAAACTTTCTTCTCACTGACTAAAAATGTAATTGTATGTTTTTCTTTGGTAAGTTTTCATAGTTAACAGTGCATGACATACGAGCTATTCGAATATTAAAGGAAGATGGAATTTACAAATACTGATTAAGACTATAACTTGTCACTTAACCATCGAAATTCTTATTTTACTTTCGAAGAAAAGAAATTTTTTCTTTCGCTTGTGCATTTGTTCTCATTATTGTAGACTAAAATCATTGTTATTTCTTACTATTGTTTTATGAAAACTAGATTCTATCTGCTCATAGGAAAATAAAACGAAGTGAGCTAAAATACCTGGAGAAATATACGACTAACTCTATCTGTTTAAGAATGTTTTATTGAAGAGTGAAAGATATTGATGGTTTTAACTATTTATTAAGAGAAATTAAAGCAATTATTTTTCTTTTTATTTGAAATCGAAAATAGACTATTTTTTATCTGCAAATCAAAAGTGTGTCTATTATAATATTTGTGAATTTTCTCTTCATGTATCGCAACACGAATAATCTCTTATTACAAAAAAAGACTAACTTATGGATGTCGGTGTGGGTGTGAGTGTGGGGAGGGTGTGGGTG